TCCAGGAGAGGAGCTGGGACAACTGTACAAGACGAAGGGAAGGGAAGCCTGGAGTTCCCCTTTAAATCTCAGCAAGCTGTTATAATTGGTGCAGTTCTGCAGCTTCTAATGCACATGGTGAGAAGCTCACAGTGTGCAGTGAAATCAGAGTAAGCCATTTCATACAGGAGAGGAGTCGCTACAACTGTGCAAGACTGGAGGGAAGGCTGGAGTTTCCCTTTAAATCTCAGCAAGCTGTTATAATGGGTGCGGTTGTGCAGCTTGGATGGGGCGGGTGAGACGATCGATGATCTGTGTATTCGATGTGGCGGCTCGGCTTCCATTTTAGTCCATGGAGAAGGGAAGCCGCGCTGGGAATGTGCAGTATTTTTCCACTGTGTATAGAATCGGTGGCCCCTGCAATCTATAGGACGGATCACGTGCGTTCTGCACCCTCCGGACCTCGCCCCGTCTGCACACTGTAATACAGTGACCTACCTTCCCGGGAAGACGCTTCCATGGCCACGCCCACTGCGCTGAGGTCACCTTCCTTCCCTGGAATCCTCGCACACAGGAGAGAAGGGCGAGATAAGGAATCTGACAGCCCGGAACTGCTTTGTCTTTCCTTCCAGGAGCTAGTCCCGGGCTGGAGTCATCAGGACCAGGGGCGGACTGACCATTCGGGAACTAGGGCACTGCCCGAGGGCCCCGGGGTCAGTAGGGGGCCCCATGAGATGCCCCTGGTACCTTTTATAGGCTTTTTTGGGTGTGGTTTGAGTTTGGGCAAGGACACAGGGGCCCCATGATCCCCTATTGCCCGGGGGGGCCCCATGAGTTGTCAGTCCGCCCCTGATCAGGACACACACATTGGCACAGCAGTGAGTGCGACTTTCACCCAACATTCACCGGCGGTGTCATTCACAACAGAGTGAGAATCATCACAGGACAGGATCTGAACGTGGATCCAACACCAGATATTTCTTTTCATGTTCATTATAGCAAAATGTGTGATCAGTGGAACACTTCCAGGCAGGGGCGGACTGACCATTTGGAAACTCGGGCACTGCCCGAGGGCCCGGGGCCAGTAGGGGGCCCCATGAGATGCCTCTAGTACCTTTTTCATAGGCTTTTTTGGGAGTGTAGGCAAGGACACAGGGGCCCCATGATCCCCTATTGCCCGGGGGCCCAATGAGTTGTCAGTCCGCCCCTGCTTCCAGGTGTTCAGAGATCATAGTAGAACGGCGCCATCTCTGTTCGGGCATCATTCAGGGTCCTCATCTATTTCCTGAAATGCTGGTTCAGATACCAATTCTTGGCTGTGTTCACAAATGTCTGACACAGATCAGCCCCCTGCTGCAGACTCTCACCTTGTGACCAGGGACGGACTGACAACTCATGGGGCCCCCGGGCAATAGGGGATCATGTGGCCCCTGTGTCCTTGCCCAAACTCAAACCACACCCAAAAAAGCCCATGAAAAGGTACCAGGGGCATCTCATGGTGCCCCCTACTGACCTCGGGCCCTCGGGCAGTGCCTGAGTTTCCAAATGGTCAGTCCGCCCCTGGTTGTGACTTGCTACAAAGTTACAATGTTGCAGTGTGATCCCTGGAGGGGAGGAGACTAAGGAAAGGCTTCCTCCTGCCTGCAGCAGACCGATGGCCTAGTCCTGTTATATAGGCTGCAGTGTTCTAATGCATTCATTGCAACATCCATCCCCCGATAGCTGCTCATATCTGCACTCCAGTGAGGGGTGTCTTAAAATATATACATACCTGCTTTCTTTCTGTATTGGAAGGCGATTATGAGGGGTTCCCACCATCCCTGTGCTGAGTTCGGGGGTCTGTACACCTGCTGTGCCCATTATGAGGGTTCCCACCATCCCTGCGCTGAGTTCCCCGGTCTGTACACCCGCTGTGCCCCATTATGAGGGGTTCTTACCATCCCTGTGCTGAGTTCCCGGGTCTGTACACCTTCTGTGCCCATTATGAGGGGTTCCCAACATCCCTGCGCTGAGTTCCCGGGTCTGTACACCCTCTGTGCCCATTATGAGGGGTTCCCCCCATCCCTGCGCTGAGTTCCCCGGTCTGTACACCGCCCCGCTGATTATGAGGGGTTCTTACCATCCCTGTGCTAGTTCCCGGGTCTGTACACCTTCTGTGCCCATTATGAGGGGTTCCCAACCATCCCTGCGCTGAGTTCCCGGGTCTGTACACCCTGCTGTGCCCATTATGAGGGGTTCCCACCATCCCTGCGCTGAGTTCCCGGGTCTGTACACCCTCTGTGCCCATTATGAGGGGATCCCACCATCCCTGTGCTGAGTTCCCGGGTCTGTACACCCTCTGTGCCCATTATGAGGGGTTCACACCATCCCTGTGCTGAGTTCCCGGGTCTGTACACCCTCTGTGCCCATTATGAGGGGATCCCACACCATCCCTGTGCTGAGCTGAGTTCCCGGGTCTGCCCTGTGCCCATTATGCGGGGTTCACACCATCCCTGTGCTGAGTTCCCGGGTCTGTACACCCGCTGTGCCCATTATGAGGGGTTCCCACCATCCCTGCGCTGGCCTCGCTCACACAATACGCGCAGAAACACTGATGGAAACTGATGCACAGATTTCACTTGCAGAGACATCAGTCTTCATGCACATTTCAATGAGTTTCAGCCCCGGGTTACACAAACCGATGCGGTGCGGAATTGGCAGCATTTTCAGTGTGAATTCTGCATCAGAATCGCACCCCGTTCCTGCGAACCGCTGCGGGTGTGTATGTTCAGTTAACAACACCCCGAAAGTGGTTTGCAAAATGCGGTGCGATGTGCAGAATTGGATCTCATAGGTGTGACTACCCAAGCGATCCGATTCTAGTGTGGACCCAAGAAAGGATCCTGCATGTTTTTGGTGCGGTTCCTGTGTGAATCAAATGCGATATACCGCGCCGCACTGGAAAAAAAATGTGCCATCCGGAGCGCATCTGGACTGCGTTTCTATAGTGTGAACCGGCCATTAATGAACACTTTTCTATTTTGTACTTTTTTTTATTGCAACACTATAAAAATGAATGAATAAAATGAAAAAAGTGTAAAAAAATGTTTAAGGGCCGGTTCACACGACATGCGTTTCAGCTGCTTTTTTTTCTGCACCCAAAACAGGTTCTATGCTGGTCAATGTCATCGTTCACATCGGCGCTTGCAGTGCGTTCCGGTTGCAGAAAAAAAAAGAACAGGCTGCATTTTTCCTGCACAGAACAGTATTGGAACGCATTGTGTGTGTTTTTACTATTAGCACACTGCTTTGTATGGCTCTGCTATGCAGAGCCATACAAAGCAGTGTGCTGGCGCAGACAGGGGAGAAATCTGCTGTTTACATACAGGTCTCTCTCTCCCCCCCCCCCGTCAATAATACTCGGCAATCACCGGGTGCCAGCGAGAAATCACCGTCCGGGATCCAGTGACTGACAGCCAAGGCCGTGATTGGAGGCGTGGGTACTGCCCGGATATATACGTGATTTTGCGCACCCATGCCGCCCTGTAGCAGGATTTCTTCTATAGAGCGGCGTGGAAGCGGTTAAAGTGTAGGTCCTCCCAAAACTTTTTTTTTTTTACCTCTGTCCTTTTGATGTATTTTTACCCCCCAGATGGAAGTTTTTTGTTTTTCTCTGTGAACTCGGCGGTGTTGCTCAGCGGTTTTGCGAGATGCTGCAACCCGCCATCACTGACACTCATCCTCCAGACAACGTCTATTAGATCACACGTCTTCCTCATTCTATTGTTCTTCAGGTCCCAAACAGGTCTGTGTGCTTTGTGTGCTGAGTCACAGCCCCGTGATTGGCTCTTCCTGCACACAAGCAGTCCTGTCTAAGCCCCATTCACACACCTGAGTGTTGTGTTGCATCATTCCCGGAGCACTGCAGTGCTGAAGGTGAAGGTCTCACGCAGGGGCGGACTGACAACTCATGGGGCCCCCCGGGCAATAGGGGATCATGGGGCCCCTGTGTCCACATCCACACTCAAACCATACCCAAAAAAGCCTCTGAAAGGTACCAGGGGCATCTCATGGGGCCCCCTACTGACCCTGGGCCCTTGAGTGCTGGAATGATCAGTCCTCCCCTGGTCACGCACACGGGGAGTTTTTACTTTTAGGGGCGTCAGGCGGTTTTCGTTTTTTTTTTTTACTGCTTCCAAACGGCCCTCCATGCTATCCTATGTTGCAGGCTGCTGTCAGAAACCACGGGGGGCCCCATACAGCCAACATAACAGGGCCCCCAAATCAACAAAGTTTACTATGCTTTAGTTATGACCAGGGGCGGACTGACAACTCATGGGGCCCCCCGGGCAATAGGGGATCATGGGGCCCCTGTGTCCCTCGGCCCAACCCACTCAAAAAAGCCTATGAAAAAGGTAAAAGGGGCATCTCATGGGGCCCCCTACAGATCCCGGGCCCTCGAGTTTTCCAATGGTCAGTCCGCCCCTGGTTATGGACTGAACACAGTGATTGATTAGTACCAATCACTCGTTGTGTTCATTCAGGAAAGGGCTGGTAAATGTGACATATTTACGGATTCTTCCCCCCCCATTCTTCATCCTAAGGATCCTATAGTGTGTTTGCAGCTGGGAAGGAGAGAAGAGAAAGGGGTGGGGGGGGGGCACACACAAGGTGGGCGGCTTGGGCAGCATGAGGAAATGTGTGGTGCATTGGGAGGTGCTGCAGAGGGAACCATACAGGGGATCAGTTTCAGTAATTGCCCTCCTCCCCCCTGCTGCGCTGATCTCCCTCCCTGCCCACATCTGATTCACACCCCCTGCTGCCTGGGCCCCATACAGGAAGACCAGTGTACCACCCCCTAATCCCGTGACACACTTAGACTTTCAGAGCTTTTAGTAGCCATCTAACCAGCAGGGGAAAAAAAACCCCACTTGTGCACAGGGGCGGACTGACCATTTGGAAACTTGGGCACTGCCCGAGGGCCTCTGGGGGTCAGTAGGGGGCCCCATGAGATGTATCCCTGTGGTACCTTTTTTTCATAGGCTTTTTTGAGTTTGGGCAAGAGACACAGGGGCCCCATGATCCCCTATTGCCCGGGGGGCCCCATGAGTTGTCAGTCCGCCCCTGTTCACGCTCCCCCTTTGCTGCCTGGACCAGTGTGGTACCCCTTATCCACGGCCCTGCCTGTGTGTCCGTGCACACATAGACTTTCAGAAGCTTTTAGTAGCAGTAGCATCTACCAGCAGAAAAAAAAAAACCCAGGGCCAGTGCGTCCAGGAGCAGCAGCGCTTTGGCAGAAAAATGCGTTTCAGCACAGCGGCTAAATGGTTAGCCACTTCCTCCATGGCAGTGGCGCCAAGCAGGACCCAATTGGACTAGGGTCGTCGATTCAAATCCCAATCACAGCACTGTCAGTGTTTCCACCTGCCTGGAGTTTTGCATGTTCTCCCTGTGCCTGCGTGGGTTTCCTCCGGGTACTCCGGTTTCCTCCCACAATCCAAAGACATGCTGGTAGGTTAATTGGCTCCTGTCTAAATTGTCCCTAGTATGTGTATTATGAATGTGAGTTAGGGACCTTAGATTGTACACCCCTGAGGGTTAGGGACTGATGTGAATGTACAATATATATGTAAAGTGCTGAGTACATTGACGGCGCTATATAAGTACCTGAAATAAATAAATAACATGCTCCTAAATGCATGTTTAGCAATTGAGCGTTAATTTATTTCAATGGCCAGAGCTCCTGTCCTGGCTGGCCAGCTTGGCCCAAACACACTATTTAACCGCCTCCTGCCCTCCATATAAGGAAATGATGGGAGGATCTCTTGTTTCATATGACGTCCTCCCCACTCTAATTGTGCATGCGCGTCCCTGGGGGCGCGAGTCGTGCGCGATCGATCGTGCGCTGTATCCCTGGGACACAGTGGATCACCAGATCACAGTAAAGAGCCGATGACACAGGCTCTATCATGTGATCAGCTGTGTCCAATCACAGCTGATCGCATGTAAATAAGAAATGCCGGTAATCGGCATTCCTCAGAGGGGACATGTGCACTGATCAGTAGTGCCCTGGTGATCTGTGTAGACCCATCAGTGCCACCTGTTAGTGCCCATCAATGCCACAAACCAGTGCCCATCAATGCCACATATCAGTGCCCATCAGAGCTGTGTTTTCAGTGACAACTATCAGTGCAGCGCCATTAGTGCCCATCAGTGCCTCCTATCAGTGCCCATCAGTGCCACCTAACAATTCCAATCAGTGCTGCCTAATGGTTCCAATTAGTGCCAGCCTTTCAGTGCCCATCAGTGCCACCTAACAATTCCAATCAGTGCTGCCAATAACGGTTCCAATTAGTGCCGCCTATCAGTGCCCATCAGTGCCGCCTAATCAGTGCCATATTTCAGTGCTGTCTTTCAGTGCCCATCGGTGATGCCTGTCAATGCCCACCAGTGATGCCTGTCCATGCCCATCAGTGCCGCCTATCAGTGCCCGTCAGTGCCTCTTATCAGCGCCCATCAGTGCCGCCTAACAGTTCCAATCAGTGCCGCCTATCAGTGCCCCACCAGTGCAGCCTATCAGTGCCCATCAGTGCAACCTCATTAGCGCACATCAGTGAAGGACAAAATGTACTTATTTACAAAATTACATAACAGAAATTAAGAAAAAAGGTTTTTTTATTTCAAAATTTTTAGGTTTTTTTTAGTTTGAAAACCCAAGTGGTGATTAAATGCCACCAAAAGAAGGAGCTATATGTCTAAAAAAAATGATAAAAATTTGGTTTGGGTCCAGTGCTGCATGATGACCGGCAATTGTCATTCAAAGTGCAACAGCACTGAAAGCTGAAAATTGGCCCAGGCAGGAAGGGGGTGAAAGTGCCCGGTAGGCAAGCGGTTAAAGCAAAAGTAAGCCCGGAGTTTGGCTTTAGGTGTGAATGGAAAGGGCTACAGGGGTGAATCGAGACTGAAAAACATCCTTCAAGTGCAAAAATGTCTCCTTTGTGCTAGCGCAGTTTGTTTCTGGGCGATGGTCGGGAGATTAATCTGACGAGATTACGATCATGGGGTATAGATGAATGGGAGAAAATCAGTGATGCATCACTTATATCAGCCATTGTTGAGTAATTAATCTTCACCTCCCTTTGAATTCATGGGGATTAATTGTTAATTGCTTCTCCTACGCAATTAAATTGTGGCATTGTGTGATCGCAGGAGATCAATTGCTCAATCTCACTACTGAAAACTTCCCATGCAGCAGTTCATAGGTCGTGTTCACACTATGCAATGCAGGTGCTTTTGGAGGGGACTATGGTCTAGCCCAGGGGTCTCCAAACTTTCTAAACAAAGAGCCAGTTTACTGTCCTTCTGACTTAACGTGGGGGGGGGGGGGATGTGGCCACTGGGAGTAGAAAAGACCCAGATGAATCAGTTGGTCAGTGGAATAAGCCATTTGGTGTCAGTGGAAGGAATTGTTCCCCATCATTGGTGTCAGTGGAAGGAATTGTTCCCCATCATTGGTGTCTTTGAGAAGAATTGTTCCCCATCATTGGGTGTCATTGGTGTTGGGAAGAATTGTTCCCCATCATTGGTGTCTTTGGGAAGAATTGTGCCCCATCATTGGTGTCTTTGGGAAGAATTGTGCCCCATCATTGGTGTCAGTGGAAAGAATTGTTCCCCATCATTGGTGTCTTTGGGAAGAATTGTGCCCCATCATTGTGTGTCAGTCAGTGGAAGGAATTGTTCCCCATCATTGGTGTCTTTGGGAAGAATTGTGCCCCATCATTGGTGTCATTGGGCCCCATTGTTGATGTCATTGAGAGGAACTGTTCACCATCTTTGGAGTCATTGGGAGGAACTGTACCCCACTTTCAATGTCATTGGGAATAATTCTGAACCTTTATTGTTACCAGTGGGGGGAATTATGCCCCATTTTTGGTATCAGTGGATGAAAATAGTGCCCCACGGGACAGATAAAAGAAAGCAAAGGGCCACAGCTGGCCGCTGGGCCGCAGTTTGGAGACCAATGGTCTAGCCTTTTACCCACTTATTATGGCCTATGGAGGAGAACTAGGATTTTTTTTTTGCTTTCTCCAGGTGGAGGAGAGCCAGGTCCTGAAGCCCTTTGACTGGCTGGGAGTATCTACTGGAATTATGTAGCCAGGAAGTCCCCAGAACAGTATTGCAGCTGCAGGAACATAATGTCAGATAGACGTGTATTGTATTCTATTCCGATATTTTCTGTTCTGTTTGATTCTATTCTTTTTCTATTCTAGTCTGTTTTATTCTATTCTATTCTGTTTTACTCTAATCTTTTCTATTCTATTCTGTTTTTTTTCTATTTTATTCTTTTCAAAATTAGAATTTGGGAAGAAGCTATTTTCTTTTTGTTTTATTCTAATCAATTCTATACAGGGTCAGACTGGGCGAAGGGGGCAGTATGGAAATTGCCCCCTAGGCCTCTCTGGTGCCCCGTGAAAAAAGGCTGCACAGCTGAGATCCCTCCCACCACCACTGTTTCCAATAGCATAGTTCACACCAGTGCGGTCAGTTCCAGGGCATTCTGGTTAAAAAAAAAATAGAACTTTGTGGCATTCTTCCTGCACTGGAATGCAGTAAAATAAATCAAAAATGACCCCAGTACAGTGATAAAAAAAAACAAAACAAAAAAAGCATCTGAAATGCATAAAAAAAAAAGCAGCAAAAATGCACCAGAATACATCAAATACGTGTTAAAAAAGAACAGATCTGGAGTGCGTTTTTTGTGGTGTGACCCGGCTCTGACATAAATATATAAAAGCTGATCATTGTAAGCAGCCGTTAGCCGTAAGCAGCACCATTTTTAAAGGGTCAATCATTTTTCATTGTGTAAAGTAAAAAAAAAAAAAATAAATCCTTTAAATGTCATGCCTGGGGGTTCCCCTTAAACTACCTGCACAGTTGCACATCTGTACAATGTACAGGACCTGCTGCAGAAGGACTGACATTTTTTTAAAAAAAATTTAATTTTAATAAAAAAAAACAAAAACATCGTGGGGTCCCCCCCAATCCATAACAAACCCTTTAGGTCTGGCAGGAAGGTTAGGAGGGACCCCACAGTAAAAAATTTTTTTTTTTTTTAAAGAAGTGTGTGGGGTTCCTCCTAAAAGTCATACCAGGCCCTTTAGGCCTAGTAGGACCTTTAAGGGGACCCCCATCACAAGAAATGGGGGGAAAAAAGTGTGGGGCCCCCTTTAAATTCCTACCAGTCCCTTGATCCAATTACAGGCCTGGCAGCCCAGGAAAGGGGGGGCGCTTGCTTGTCCCTCCCCATCCTGAACTGTACTAGTCCATATTCCCTCAATATGGGGGGGTATGCTTTAGAGTAAGCCCCCCCCTCCCAAGCACCTTGAGCCGAATTGATGGGGACAAGGTCCTCTACCCTGGTGTAAAAAAGTGTAAAATGTAAATAAAAACAGTCCTTTAATAAAAAAAAAAAAAAAAAAAGCCAAAAAATGGTTCCATGGTTGTAACCCATCGTCAATCATGATGTCAAGTGTTGTCACGTCACCTCACCGAAATATAAAAAAACAAAAAAAAACAGACGCTCGCTGATCCGTCCACACCTCCTGATCACTCACCACTATCTGATATTTGTAGACAGATGTAGACTATTGGGCGGAGCTAGCGGTGACATCACCACTAGCTCTGCCCAATTTTTATTTTTATTTATTTATTTATTTCAGGTACTTATATAGCGCCATCAATTTATGCAGTTCTTTACATATATATATTGTACATTCACATCAGTCCCCCCCCCCGAGGAGCGTAGAATCTACAGTCCCTAACCAGGGGTGGACTGACAACTCATGGGGCCCCCCGGGCAAAAGGGGATCATGGGGCCCCTGTGTCCTTGCCCAAACTCAAAAAAGCCTATGAAAAAGGTGCCAGGGGCATCTCATGGGGCCCCCTACTGACCCCGGGCCCTCCCCGAGTTTCCAAATGGTCAGTCCGCCCCTGTCCCTAACTCACATTCATACATACACATACTAGGGACAATTTAGACAGGAATCAATTCACCTACCAGTGTGTCTTTGTAGTGTGGGAGGAAACCCACACAGACACAGGGAGAACATGCAAACTCCAGGCAGGTGATGTCGTGGTTGGGATTCGAACCAATGAC